CCCACGTTATGAAGCAATTTTTTGCCATTTTTTTCCAACTTTTTCCAGTTACGAAGCGGCCCAAGGCTTCCGGACAGGTCGCGGGCCTGCTTCTCCAACGCATCTGGCCACCGGGCGGAGCAAAAAATAGTGCGTCTCTTTTTCAGATATCAAGTGAGCCAAACCGCAAAAATGCTCTTTTTTCACCTTCTCCCGCTTGGTTTCTGCCATTTTTGCGACATTTTTGACCTCCTGGGCATTTTCCCATCTGGTCCGCTTTTTTTCCCTTCTCCCGCTTCATTTCTGGCCATTTCCCTGACCTTCACGCCTCCCGGCGGTTGCCCTATATGGTAACGGCAACTGCCTTCGCGCTGCGTTTGCTAAGCAATATCGCAAGCGCGCAGAGCGCGCGCGCCGGCTTCGTGGGCCGGCGCGCGCTCTGCGCGCGCGCGCGCACGCATTTGGTTACCAGATTACGCATACCTGTTTATCTTCGTAAATACATTTCATTTTCGTTGCAGCTTTAGTTTGGTTTTACAACTTTTTACAGAGTAGACAAATTTTCGGTAGGCACAACAAAACCAGCAGCATTTCCAACAGCATCAAAACCGGTCGTGCTCCGTCAGCGGAAAGAAGCTCGAGGATGCTGATGTTGTTGTCAAATCTTCCGCCTCGCAGATTCGTTTTTTGTGCGTTCTGTTGTTTCTCTTGTTTCTTCTGATTCCCGCCTGCAGCTTGTGGCCGCCCTTGTGTTGGTGCTTCTTCTTCTTCCGGGGTGCTTTTTACAGTGGGCGACGGAGACGGTCCTTTGGGTGCACGAGCATTCCAACTGTCGCCTTCTGGAATACTCCTTCCCGTCGCAGAAGCCCAAGTCGGCGAGGAACCTGGTAGTGGCTCCCCTATCCGAGGAAAAAAGTGTTTGCAAGTACACACTCGTTTGTAGTTGCACACAATTTCGGTTTCGCATCACAAACTTGTCCTGCACATAAAGAAGGCTTGCATCATCAATGCAGAGAAACAAAGAGATCACACGAAAAAAAAATGCATGACACGAGGCTTGGACGATGCACTGTCGGAATGACAAACGCTATCAGTCTTGCTTGTCCCGCAACACAATGTGTAACCTCAACACTGTTTTCTCGCGATGATATCATCTCCCAGCTGAAGAAACGAAGCCGAGAAACTGGTCTCGTTCCCCGGCGTAGCGGTTCCGGGCAGAACTTCCGCTTGCTCCTTCACATCACTCGCAAAAGAAGAGCGTGAAGCAGCCGTGGGCTTGGTGAATGAGGTGGAGGTGGCACTGCCGCCAACAGCAGCATTTATTTCTGCTACCTCCTCTAGTACCGGTGCCGGTACTGATGCTGCACTCCCCTGCGTCTGTTCCTCCGCTGCGATCATGCCCGTGGTTTGCTGCTCCTCCACCGGAGCAGGGGCAATCTCCTTTATCGCGAGAAAAAAGTATTTCACTGTGATGATTTTGCAAGATCTGCATCACAAGTTTGTTACACGTGACAAAGAAAATTTGCCGTGCGCGTTTCCAAAATGAAAACACGCGGAAAAATCCTATGTCTTGCATGTGTAGCAAGACAGAAAGCGTTGTGTTCCATTTCCTGCATCACAGTGAAACAGTTTTTTCTTGCGATATCCTCTGCAGTGAACGAAGTGTCTACTTCAATGAGTGTTCTTGGTGGAGGGTCGTGGTTGTTCAAGTCGTACTTGCCCCATGCTGACGTCTTTTTCGACTTTTGATTCTTTCTCTTCGACCCGCCGCCTGCCCGCTTCCGCTTTCGGCGCGCCGCGACGACTGCGCGCCGCCCCAGCAAGCCGACACCTCCGACGACCCCTGCTCCTGCGGCAGTTGCGGCGACCATCGGCTTCTTTTCTACCTGCTCTTTCACCACCGCCAGGGGACCCGCGCTCGTGGAACTCTCATCTGCCGAAGTAGAAGAATCTCCTGTCGAAGCTGCTGCTCCAGCTGCACCTCCAGATGACGGGCTGGACGAGGAAGCGCCTTGTTCCTCTTTCCCCTCCTGATTTGCGGACTCGGCAGCGGTTCCCGAGCCTGACGAGGACGCATCCGCCCGCCCCGCGTTTGCGGAGTCATCGTCGGCTCCCGGGCCTTGCAAGGTGGCATCCGCTTGCTCCACGTTTACGGAGTCATCATTGGCTTCCGAGCTGTCAGCCGCTTTTCCCGCGCTTGCGGATTCCCCATCATCGCCTCCCGAGCTGCCAGCCGCGGGTTCCGCCCTTGCGGGTTCCCCATCCTCGCCTCCCGAGCTGCCAGCCGCTGGCTCCACCGCGCTTGCGGGTTCCCCATCTTCGCCTCCCGACCTGCCAGCCGCTGGTTCCACCGCGCTTGCGGATTCCCCATCCTCGCCTCCCGAGCTGCCAGCCGCTTGTTCCGCGCTTGCGGGTTCCCCAGCATCGCCTCCCGAGCTGCCAGCCGCTTGTTCCGCGCTTGCGGGTTCCCCAGCATCGCCTCCCGAGCTGCCAGCCGCTTGTTCTGCGCTTGCGGGTTCCCCATCCTCGCCTCCCGACCTGCCAGCCGCTGGTTCCACCGCGCTTGCGGATTCCCCATCCTCGCCTCCCGAGCTGCCAGGTGAAGAAGGGGAGGGAGCCGGGGTTGAAGCCGGGTTCGCGCTGCTGCCGCCATCGGTTCCCGGGCCTGGCGAGGTGGCATCCGCTTGCCCCGCGTTTGCAGATCCATCGCCGGTTTCCGGGCCTGGCGCGGGGGCAGGAACTACAGGAACCGACCGCCGCACCGGAGCAGCCGTTGATGTTGAGTCACCACCAGTAGTTCCACCCGAGCCTGACGAGGGACCAGCTTCATCTCCTTTCGGATCGTGTGCGGGAGTAGCAGTTTCTTCCTTGGCATCCGAGCTTGCAGGGGAGGGTGAAGCCGGGGTTGGAGCCGGGCTCTCGCGGCTGCCATCTTCCTCGGCATCCGAGCCTGCAGGGGAGGGTGAAGCCGGGGTTGGAGCCGGGCTCTCGCTGCCACCGTCACCGGTTCCCGCTTCTGATCCCGCGTTTGCAGAGCCATCGCCGGTTCCCGGGCCTGGCGCGGGGGCAGGAACAGGATCCGCCTGGTGCTCCGGAGCAGCCGTTGTTGAGTCACCACCAGTAGTTCCACGCGAGCCTGACGAGGAGCCAGCTTCATCTCCTGCCGGGTCGTTTGCGGGAGTAGCAGTTTCCGCCTCATCTTCATGCGCTACGACGGCAGGCAGTTCGCTCGCTTCAATTTTCCCGTCATCATCAGTGTCCAGTTGGTCAAAAAGCCCGCCGGACTCCTCCCCCCCGGGGAACTCCGCGGCAGTAACGGGCAGGTGACCGTCTCCGAGATTTATTGCGGCCGCGAACGTGTCATCCGTGAGTTTAACGTGATCGTCGTCTACTTGCCCGCCTGCCTTCCCGGCGCTATCCAGCAACGCTGCCGCGTAGTTCTCCGAGTATTCGTGCAGCCACTGGGCCCGGTCTGCAGAAGTTTTGTCAAACAGGTCCGTGCCGTGGTCCCCGGGGGTCAGGAAGCTCATCATCTTGGCCACTGTGTGCGAATCAGCCTCACCAGTGCCCTGCGTCGCGGCGAAAGCAGCTTGCACTTCAGGCGTAAACACCTCGGCCGCTGTGGGCGGTGGAGGTGTTGAGGGGATTGGCATCCCAAGGACAGGCATGAGCTGCCTTCCTGCGACTTTCTTCATCCGTCCCCAGGACAGTGCTTCTTTGTATTCACCATCATCTGTCTGCAATGCAAAAACCTTCGGGTCTCCGTGCCATTCGTCGGCCGTCAGGGGTGGCTACCAAGTGCAAATATGCCATCTGGTTCTGGGTGAAAATTGTGATGCTATATGCGAACCCTAAGGCTAAGCAGTGTTTGGGTATTTTATGAAGCGCCGAAGGTCGAAGTTTACGCTTACGGAGCCACGCATCACAATTTTTTTGGCGACGACGTCTTGCGCAACTAAGGCACCTGACGAGTGAGGTTTTATTTGGCTGCCAAACAATAGCACTGCCTCTGCCACTGTATCGCTACACGCGTGACAGACCTTTGCTTTCCCTCCTGTTTGCCAAGCATGACATCATCAAGCCCGGCAATTTATTCCCAGACCAAGACTACATGTTTGCATTCCGTAGCGATTTTATTCCATCGCCGATTTTCTCGTACTCGTCCCTGGAAAAAATAATGCCGTCGACGCCGCCGACCTGCGCTGTCCACGTGGCTTGCGTCGCCTCCACGAAAGCCCTGTGCGCGGCCTCGTCGCTCGCACTGGCGTCGAGCCCCAGTGCGTCTTTGAGCTTGCCCGGGTCGTGCAAGTCCGCTGCGGAAAGATGCAGCTTGTCCAGGGTTTTCGTCAGCATCTGCTGTTCGTCTGCGGTGAAGTGGTCGTGTGTCAGTCCTTTTCCCGCCCAGTCGGGGAGCACCTCGCTCACGATCGCGGCGGGGGGCTGATCTAGCGTTTCGCCGGCTTCGATGAGTCCGTCATGATCTTTGTCCATGGCGTCCGCCACCGTGGCGTCGAGGGGGAGCTCTGCCTTCTCCAGCGGGGGCGCGCCGTCCCCAAGTGAGCTCGCCAGTTTTGTGACGTCCTGCTCGTTCGCCGGACCAAACTCGCCCAGCGGAAAGTGGTTGGGATCTTGTGCACGCACCGCTGTTTCCAGCTTCTCAAATTGCATCGCGTCTAGAACCTCCTTACGGTCCTCGACGGACATGTCCATCCACTCCGTTTTCAAATCGTCCACACTATTCACGCCCGCTGGAACGACGCGCGGATGGTGGTCCGTAATCACGGCCTGCAGCGCGTCCGCCGCGGGTGTGCCGTCCACCGGAGCTTTCCAGGTCGGTGGCGAGACTGATTCATCGAGGACGAAGCCCGCATCCACACTCTGCTGCGCGTCCTGCAGCTTGTCCAGTGTGGCAGCACTTGTGCCTTCGGTTTGGTGCGTCTCCGGGTCGGCGACGGCCGCAAAAACGCTCGGGTCGCCGTGCCATTCCGCCTGCTCTATGGGCAAATGGTGGTCGCCGACCCGCTGCAGCTCCTCTGCACTGTTGAACAAACCGTTATCGTCATCGCCGGTGACCCTTGCAGTCCACGTGTCCTGCATACTGTCCAGGAAAATTTTCTGCGCCGCTTCGTCTGTCGACGCGCCCGTTGCCTGCCTCAACTGCTCGGGGGTAAACGAGTCCGGTAGGTCAAACTTTTTATTTAGCACATCGAACACCGCGTTCGCCTCATCTTTGTAAACCGTTTTCGCGGGCCCCGCCTGCGAATTGTCGCCGACCGCGGCCGCGACCCAGTCATGGTTCCTGACGGAAGCCGGAGGCGTTCCGTCCTTCCACCACATCTCCTCTGCATCCAGCTGACCGTTGCCGTTCTGGTCCTGAGTTTTGAATGTATCGTACAGTGTGGACGAGCCCTCGCTGTCCCGGTGTGTGCCCGGGAGCTCCGCTGCCGTGAGCGGCAGCTTGCCGTCCCCAAGCTCCTCCACGTCTTTGGCGGATAGGTTTAATGTTTCCTCCTTGCCCCCGTCGTGGGTCCGGAGCTCCGCAAAAATGTTGTCCGTGTAAAAATGTACCGCACGAGCTGCGCTTTTACCTGTCTCGCCGCCGCCCGGTCGGAAAACGTTTGCCAGTTTGGCTATTTTCTCCTCGCCGCCCGTCCCTTCGCCGGTGTTGGGGAACGTGTCATCTGCTGTCTTTTCCAGCGCATCCTTTTGGTCCGGCGACAGGGCGTCGTACGCCGGGGTGCCGGGTACCGGAAAGGGCTTCGAAACGTCGAGTCCCATCTGGTTCATTCGCTGTTTGTACCGAAGCTGGGCCAGTTCATCCTCGGCTATTGTTTCGTCGTTGTCCGTGTCCGCGGCTGCGAAGACCTCGTCTCCCCCGTGCCACTCGGTCTTCTCGATCGGATCATGACCGTCCCCAATAGCGGCATGCTCGTCAACGCCGCTACCCGTGGTCCCGAACACCTCATCCCCGCCCGCGTTTTCGTCCAGCCAGCGGGCCTGCACGTGCTCGGCGAAAAGTTTTGCGGCTTCACTTATGGAGTTCTCAAATGTTACATTCTCAACTGTAGTTACTAATACAAGACTGGCAAAGGTGAAAGGAGGAAGACTGCGCCCGTGGCATTACAAGTTTGCTGCAGATTTAGATGTTGTTTAGCCCAAGCGGAATTTGTCATGCGAAGCAGCCTGATCATCTGCCAGCTTAAGGTGCTTTTGCATGACAAATTCATGTAACAGTTGAGAATGTAACGTTTGAGTGTCCCATATCACTTTCGGATTCGGTGTGCAGTGCTTGCTTTAACTCCTCAGAGGTAATCGTCCCGTCGCTGACGTCGATTTTCAGATCCGCTGCCGCTTTCAGCAGAGCCTTGGCTTCGTCGGGGGTTTGCGTCGGTCCAAGGTGTAGTGCGTCTTTCTGCGCCCTGGTAAGACCGTCAGTGCCGATGTGCAACGACTGTCTAGAGTCATCACCGGTTCCACCCGAGCCTGACGAGGAGCCAGCTTCTCCTCCCGGGTCGTTTGCGGGAGTAGCAGTTTTCGCCTCATGTTCCGTGCCTGCGGATTCCCCCTCGGCTCCCGAGCTGGCAGTCGCTTGCTCCACTTCCGCGCCTGCGGATTCACCATGGCCTCCCGAGCTGCCAGCCGCTTGCTCCGCTTCCGCGCCTGCGGATAATTCACCATTGCCTCCCGAGTTGGATGCCGTGTTTGCGGAGTCACCACCAGTAGTTCCACCCGAACCTGACGAGGAGCCAGCTCCTCCTTCCGGTTCGTTTGCGGGATCAACAGGATGATACGGATACGCTACGTCGGCCGGCAGTTCGTTCTCTTCAATTTTTCCGTCACCATCACTGTCCAGTTGGTCGAAAAGCCCGCCGGGCTCCTCCCCACCGGGGAACTCCGCGGCGGTAACGGGCAGGTGACCGTCTCCGAGATTGATTCCGGCTGCGAAGGTGTTTTCCGTGAGAGTAACGTGATGATCGCCGTGTTGCCCGCCTGCCTTCTCGGCGCTATCCAGCAACGCTGCCGCGTAGTTCTCCGAGTATTCGTGCAGCCAGTGGGCCCGGTCTGCAGGACTTTTGTCCCACAGGGTATGTCGATCGCCGAGCATGTTGGGGAGCATGTTCAAATCGTTGTTGGGGAGCATGAAATCGTTCATCTGGGACTGGGTGATCAGCCACGAATCAGCCTTACCAGTGCCCTGCGTCTTGACGAAAGCAGCTTGCGCTTCATTCTGCCAAATCGTCAGCGACGCTGCGGAATCCGTAGGTGCTGCGGAATCCTGTCCATACAGTCCCATTGCGGGCGCGAGCTGCGTTCTTGTTAAGCCGGCCAACCGTTCCGCGGACAACTCCTTTTCATCACCTCCCCACAAATTATATGCAAAAACCTTTGGGTCCCCGTGCCACTCGTCGGCCGTCAGCGGGGGCTATCAAGTGCAAATATGCCATCTGGGTCTGGAAAATCAAAATTGTGATGCTAACTATATATAACTGTACCGACGCGCCACTTTTTTTTAGAGATCGACCGGGTTACGCACTTCTGATGGTGCTAAAACCTGGCAGGAGGTCGACGTAAGTCGGCTAGTCCGACTCGTCACGATGTATTTCCATTTCGCATAGAACCATGCAGGGCGGATGCTGACGCCACGGTACCCAGGCGGGGGTAACGTAAAGTAATCATCGGAAGAGAATAAGAGCGAAAGCGACCGCAGGTCCCAGAACGACATAGGTGAGAACCGCGAAAACATCGCGAGTAAATTCTTCATCCCAGGGTACTTGTTTATATTCTTTCCTTACTTTGCCTTTGCGCTCACAATTGTAATGTGAACCCTATTAAGGCTAAGCAGTGTTTGGGTATAATTTTATGAAGCGCCGAAGGTCGAAGTACCTTACGGAGCCACGCATCACAATATTTTTGGCGACGACGTCTACTCGCGCCAGTAAGGCGCTTGACGACGAGTGAGGGTTTTTTTGGCTGCCAAACAATAGCACTGCCTCTGCCACTGTATCGCCACATGCATGACAGACCTTTCCCTCGCTCCTGTTTGCCCAGCATGACAAGCCCGGCAATTTATTCCCAGACCAACACTACATGTTTGCAATCCGTAGCGGTTGTCCGTCGCCGATTTTCGCGTATATCGCAAGAAAAAACTGTTTCACTGTAAGGATTTTGCAAGCTTTGCCTCACAGGTTTGTTATACATGACAGAGAAGATTTGCCATGCAAGGTTCCTAAGAGAAAACACAGCGAAAAATCCACTGTCTTGCATGTGTAGCCAGACAAACCCTTCTGAGGTAGATTTGCTGCATTCCAAGTTTACAGTGAAAAAGTTTTTTCCTGCGATATCGTACTCCTTCCCGGCAATAATGCCGTCCTCGCCGCCGATATGGAGAGAAAAAAGTTTGTCACAGTCACATCACTACCTTGCAGGTTTTACATTACAAATTTTTTCAGCATCACAGCTTTTCCCTGTATTGCAGAAACACTAGGGAAATCCCTTATGAAGTTTGGCTGTAATGCATTTTTACGCATGACAGAAAGTTTTGTATTGCAAAAATGCGCATGAGTGATCGTGACGAACTTTTTTTGTTTGATAGCCGACCTGCTCTGTCCACGCCGCCTGAAACCCCTTGGCGAAAAGTTTTGCGGCTTCACTTATGGAGTTCTCAAATGTTACATTCTCAACTGTAGTTACATGAATTTGTAATACAAGACTGGCAAAAGTGAAAGGAGGAAGACTGCGCCCGTGGCATTACAAGTAGTTTGCTGCAGATTTAGATGCTGTTTAGCCCAAGCGAAATTTGTCATGCTAAACAAAATGCGACACACTTTGCCCCCCCATTGTGCCATGGCCGCAGATGGCTTGAGACGCAGGGCGGGTGGGTCAGGCGGACGCCAAAGTGCCATCACCATCATCTCCCGGCCACTATATTCCAACTCTGTTATCGCCACCAACCATATCCATACTGTGCCAACAGCCATACTGTGCCAACTTGTGCCCACTTGCCAACAGAACAACGCCTCACTTTTTTGCCAACAATTCCTTACTCTGATTCTCGCAAACTTCCAACTCGCAAACTTCCAACTCGCAACCCCAGAGTTGTCATGCAAATCTGCATGGTAAAAATGTTTCTCATGCGGAGCCCCATGAGAGGCATGCTTTAGTCGTGTTTCGCGATTTGTCATGCTCCAATCTGCATGATATGCTAGATCTGTGATGCTTCTGAACTAGCTAAACAGGATTGCACTATGGGGCCAAATTTGTCATGCAGAACTCCCAAAACTTGGGGATTTGTGTTGCAGAGGTCCCATCTTGACTATGGTGTGGGGATGCTTTTACATATGATAACGGGGTGCTGGTTGTTAGTCCGCTTGGCATTGCGCACTTCGGCTGCGACTGTGGCTGGAACACTACAACCAGTCGAGGATGCCGCCGTGGAGCAAGCGGAGGCTTTGGACGCCTGCCGGTGGTTGTAGCTGTGGTGAGAGCTGCAAAGGAGGGAGGATGCGGGTTGGATCAGGTCCTCTGAAGTACAAGAAAACGCGTTGAAGTAGGACGCGGCAATACCACCTGTTGCTGTTGGCGGAGTTGGAGTTTTGCTGTTCTTCGGGTTGTGGTTCTTTTCATCAATATGTTGGTGTTGTTGTTGACTGTGGCCTACATGGTGTTGTAGATGATGGCCGGGGGGAACCTGTGCTCCTCCTGCAGACCCCTGAACACCAGTTCCTGCGGCAGTTCCTCCTGCTGCGCTTCCTGCTGCAAAACGGGGCTGCTGTTGAGACTGAAAATGTGCTTGTCCTCGGGGTAGGTCCGGCAAGTTCGGGTTGATGGGTGTTTGACCTGCTTGATGGGGCGGGTTGGTAGTACTTGCGCTTGGGAAAGACGAGGACCTCTGTAGAGATACTGCCGAGGCAATGGAGGTGAAGGACGATGAGAGCAATGCGAAAAGAAGCAGGGAACGGGAAGTACTACGCTGCATCATCTTCATGTGCGAAAGAAGTTGAAGAACGGCGCTAGAAGCGCGCCGCAGGAGAGTCGCGTCTATCTCCTTTGTGTAAACACTCTATCAACTTGAGCGAAATTTGTCATGCGAAGCAGCCTGATCATCTGCCAGCTTAAGGTGCTTTTGCATGACAAATTCATGTAACAGTTGAGAATGTAACGTTTGAGTGTCCCATATCACTTTCGGATTCGGTGTGCAGATGTTGTTTCAACTCCTCAGAGGTAATCGTCCCGTCGCTGACGTCGATTTTCAGATCCGCTGCCGCTTTCAGCAGAGCCTTGTCTTCGTCGAGGGTTTGCGCCGGTCCAAGGTGTAGTGCGTCTTTCTGCGCCCTGGTAAGACCATCGATGCCGATGTGCAACGCCTGGTTGGAGTCCAGGCCGTGCTGCTCCTCCTGCAAGGCGAGTAGTTCGTCCTGCACCTCCACCTCTATGGGAGTGTCAGGATTGAAATCGACAAAGGCAATGCATAATATCGATACCAGTCAGAAGCCCAATTACAATTTTCAAGCGGTGCATGACAAATTTGGGCAGAGCCGAAATCCAGTCTGTCATGCTGTTTCGGCAAAGAAGACTGCTCCTGTCATGCTATTTTAGCACCTCAGTTGCTACCCCTCAACAGGCTTACAATGTGCCTCACTTGCCTACTCTGCAAGACAGGCACTTTGTTTCTTTGTGGGCTGCATTATTTGCGTGACAAATCATTCCAACTTTGGCGATTTCAATCCTGACACATCCATACCATCGATCTCATTGTCTTGGTTCTTATCAGCCATAAAGAAATCACCCGCCTTCCAGCTTCTGGGATGGGCCTTTCGCCATTCGTCTTCCTCGATGGGCAGTTTGCCGTCTCCGATGTGGGCATACCCATACTCCGCGCTCTTGTAGGTGTCCGAGGGGTAGGGCGGGCCTTTCGAACCGTCAAATGCGCCACTATCGCCCGTGTTCTCGGCCAGCCAATGCTCTTGGAATTTGTCCGCCAACTCGCGCGCTGCGTCCCTGTCGTTCTCAACATCGAGTGCCTTTTGCAGCTCCTCGCCGGTGATGCCATCGGCGAGTGTTTTTTCCAACTCCTTGGCGTCTTCAGGTCCATATGGAAGTGTCAGAATCGAAATTGACAAAATCGCAAAATTTGTAATGCACAAAATCGATGTCAGTTGGAGCCTCAGTTTCCAAGTGGCGCATGACGAATTTCGGAAGCACCCAAATCCAGTCTGTCATGCTGTTTGGGCAAAGAAGACTCCCCCTGTCGTGCTACTCTGGCAGAACATTTTATACCCCTAAACAGGCTTGCAATCGGTCTCATTTGCCTGCTCCCCAATACAGGCCTTCAGTGACGTACATTTTATGCATTTTTTCGACTTTGTCGATTTCGATCCTGACACATCCATAATCCATCCAAATTCAGTATCTCGGCCACCGCATCATGCAACGCCTCTGTCTCGTCCGCCGTTGGGGCCGCGTCTGCGCCTGCGGGTAACATGTTCAGCGCTGCATCATAGTACGCCAGGTTGTCTACATTTAGCAACCCGCCCAGGAGGTCGTCGACACCACCGTCCTCTGCATGCAGAAGTGTAGTCTCCTTCTCGTTCTTTGTGACAACTTTTCGGGCAGTGGCGAAGCACGCGGCACCCGCGACACCGTGAACCAGAATTCTACCTAGCACAGCGCCCATGATCATTCGGTGGATAATTATTCGCTACACAATCATTAGGTACAGCCCGCCCTAAGTGGCGGTCGTCATTTTCTATCAACAGTAGAGACACTGTTTGATATGTTGCCGCCTATTTTGTTTTTTTGTTTTATCTCAGCATTTGTGACTGCACGATCCAGAAGCAAGTCGTACTTCAGGAGGATTTGGCTTGCAAGACGATTTCTCGCATTCTTCAACAAACCCCCACTTACAGTATCGCAACCCCTCGCCCTCCATAGCCCGTCCCATGCTATCTAAACGTAAACCTCGGTGCACGACATGGAGGATTGCATCTCATATTACTCATCTTCGCTGTATAATTTCATGATCGAGAGAACTGCGAGCGAAGTCACGACGAAAACAGTGTGTAGATCTAGATTTGTATGGGAGTGTCAGAATCGAAATCAACAAAATCGAAATAATTTGTGATGCATAAAATCGATACCACTTGGAGCCTCAGTTTCCAAGTGGCGCATGACAAATTTCGGGAGCACCAAAATCCAGTCTGTCATGCTGTTTGGGCAAAGAAGACTGCTCCTGGTGTGCTGCTCCGGCAGCACATCGCCTTCCCGTAATCAGGCTTGCAATCCGTCTCATTTGCCTACTCCCCAACACAGGCCTTACTTGCCCTACATTCTACGCATTACAAATTTTTCGACTTTGTCGATTTCGATCCTGACACATCCATAATTTGCATTTGCAGTGTACGAGTCCCACGACGTCGAGAAATAAACCGATTTTTTTACTAGTCTCCAGGATGTTGTCGAGTCTAGGTCTACCCATTTTTCGCACAAATCTCGCGCTCACGAACCCACACTGCGGAAGCGGGTACTACTACGTGGAACCTTGTATTCATCAACTTTGATGCGCAAGATACGTTTTATATCGATTTTGTGAAACTGTAACTGAAACATATTACGATACTAGACGACAATACGATCTCGACTATCGATTCAAATTCGTTGGTATGGCGAGCTGGAAACAACGATCGGAGCGCGAAACCAAAGCGAAATTCAAATCTCGCCACAACGACATTGGACACTCAAGAATGAATCCGCGAAAAAATAACTTCGCAGCTTCTGTCCGAACAAGCAAAATATACCCGTTACAAGTAAGTAAAGGCGGACGGGGAGAAACCAAGAGCTTAGTAAGTTCGTTGTATCCACTGCGCCCGCAGTGCTGGAATGGTTGCTTGTTTCAGAAGTACAAGTGGCGCCAATGCTGACAACTGTCTTCACTCATCATATATATCATGCGGATTCTAGTAGTTGTAGCTGTTTTCAAGTATTGCATCCTGTGCCTGTCCTGCTCGCAGATGTTGCAGCATTACCATTTAACATTTGGCCAGATATCAAACCACTGCCTTCAATTGGTCGGACATTTTGGCAGCAAGTCGTAAGTACGTTTTCGTTTTTGACTTGTTTATACTTGAAACTGAAACTGAAACGAATTCGTCAGGACCTACTTGTTTTGAAAAGTAGAATAGCTTGTCTCTTTTGGCATTTTCCCAAGAATCATAAAACTAAATTTTCTCAGACATTTTCAATCTCGATTTTTCGGTTTTTCCGCGTTTTTCTTTATTTGGACATTTCCTCCAGCAAAGCCTCTTTTCGGTGCAGAACATGCTCGAACTTTTCGGCCATGCTCGCGGACCAAGCGTCCTCTGGTTCCACCTCCACCTCCTCATGTCGCCTAGCATTCTGACTGCTCTGACGTTGTACCAAATCAGAATTCGCCCCCGTCACCCCGTCTGGGCTGAAACTTTTTGCAGCTCGGTGGTACAACTCCAACACACGACTGCTCGACGTTGCGGGTGCAGCAGGAGCGCCACTTGTAGAAGAAGTTCTTCCTGCCGCTGTCTTGGAAGTCTTAAGTTTGTCCTTTCTGGTGTTACTTCTGCTTTTCGAAGAAGCCGAAGATGATGTTTTCGAAGCTGTTTTCTCTTCTTCATCTCCGCGGGAGTAGAGTTTTCTGCTCTGATGTTGTAGTGCGTTTGAGAACTCGTCGCGACTGGTCACATCCACTGCTTCGTCGTAGCCGGGTGGGATCGTGCTGGCGGAACCCGGTTTGTTGGTCGCACTGGTCGTTGGTGTCAGGCTATGCAAGAAAAAAACTGTGTAAGTGTAACTTTGTCTTGCAGATGTTGCAATACAGTTACACGCCTTGTCACGCCGCATATGCATCAGAGGCTATTTTAGTACGTGTTTTAGCGTACTAGCTACGCATGACAAGTTTTCTGTCATGCAAAACAAATCTATGATGCTGCTCCTGCAAGAAAGTTACACTTACACAGTTTTTTTCTTCGATACAGTCGCTTTGGATGCTCGTACTTCCAGTCAGGAAGGGGCGCGGGCTGAACGAAAGACATATGATTAATCTTTGTTCTTTTTACCCACATCTTCATGGGAAAACGTAGTAAGCAGGCGTAAAACTATCGATGTCTCGGACCACCACAGCAGTTGCCACAACATGATGAAACAGGTTGCAGAAAAATCGTGTTACCAGTACGTATCTCTCGTACGACAATCCAATAAATGATGTAGCTAAAGTAGTAGGTACCTCTGTCGCCGACCCCAAAACCTCCGCCAAAGATGCGCTTGCACTGGAGCTGCTACCACTACTTGCAAGCGTCGCTCGCTCGAGGGGCCCCGACGATCACAAAAAAATACGCGCACAAAATGCGGACCGGATTGGACAAGGTGTCGGAAAAGACATCCCAGGTCCCTCGGTCGGCGCGAAGCCCCTCTGGCCCGGAGCCCATGGAACTCACGATGCCAGATCCCAAGAAGCAAATACGCAAGCAAGATGATGCAGCGAAACAGAGCCCCGGCAATCATTTTGCTCCCTTTTGATAGATGCGAAACGACCAAAAGCCTCGACAATGGCGTACTTGTTTTACAAGAACGCATTGGGCCGGGCGGACCAGATTCAGAATAAAATTGGGCGGCGGAGGGGATTTCAGAATTTAATAGGCGGCCAAGATAGATTTCAGAATTTAATTGGCGGCCGATAGGGAATTCAGAATTTAATTGGCGCCCTCAATCAATTTCAGAATTTAATTGGCGGCCCGGGACAATTTCAGAATTAAGTTGGAAACGAGTTTGGAAATAGTTGGAAAGCTTTCCCCCACTTGAAATCTCTGATCCAACTTTTTTCAACTCTTTTCCAACTTAATTTAGAAATTGGTGTCGGACCCTTCCGCAAGATGCTCGCTGGCCCGCCTTTTCTTCAATGACCTAGCTGGACGCCGGGCCGCTTCCCTCGAAAAAAACACAGGCCAGGGTGGTTCCTCGCTATGGCCTGCGGTCTTTCATGACCCGGGAATCAGGGCCCATTCGCCAGAGGCAAGTGCGCGGCTGGCGGCGTGCAAGGCCATGACGTTGGGGGCAGCAATGGCGTTGAATTGCTGCAGAATCTTGCCAGACCAAGAAAGTCCCTGTCTTTCGCGCATGAAGACGCTTATACAGTGGCGGCCCGAAGCAGGAAAGTCGAAGGGCCCCCACACGCCCTATTTCGTCTTGCAGAATAGTTGACGCATGAAAACCTCGCCACCAGCTGAGGGCTTGCTTTGTGTATATCTGTAGGAAGCCTCGGCGCGAATGGGTGCGCTACAAACCCAGGCGGCCTTCTGAAGCCGGCCCTGTGCTGCGATGCGCTGTATGAAGCCGCGGCGCGCTCGGCTACATTCTAGAGCAGTATCGTGGGCATGACGCATGTAGCAGGAAAAACGGCAGCAGCGGGGCTGTAACTGCCGCTGTGTCGTACGTGAGGCCGCCACCCTTGAGAAATCAAGCGCGTGACAGATCCCCAAATCGCTTTGAATAGCAACGACGAAGCCCGTTTTGTAGCCACCTAGGGGCACGTTGATGCTCCGTCGATCGATAACCAGGCGCGAGGACTCAGGCCCCTAAAACGTCGAGCCAAAGTGTAAAATTGCTGGAATTCTGAATTCATTCTGAATTCGTTAAGAAATGATTACTTTCTAAGGCGGTTTTGAGTTAAGTAGTAGGTACCTGTGTCGCCAAAACCTCCGCCAAAGATGCGCTTGCACTGGAGCTGCTACCACTACTGCTTATGGGAGTGTCAGAATCGAAATCGTCAGAGTTGAAATAATTTGTGATGCATAAAACGGATACCAGTTGGAAGCCCAATTTCCAAGCGGCGCATGACAAATTTGAGTAGAACCGAAATCCAGTCTGTCATGCTGTTTGAGTAAGGAAGACGCCTTTTGTCATGCTACTTTAGCAGCTCTATTTCTACTCCGCAACAGGCTTACAATCTGCCTCCCTTGCCTACTCTGCAAGACAGGCACTTTGTGGGTTGCATTTTATGCATCACAAACTATTTCAACTTTGACGATTTCAATCCTGACACTCCCATACTGCTCGTATCATGTTTGAAATTTGACGTCGTCGAGACACCCGGAGCTGCGGACCCCCTCGTCTTCGATCCCTCGCGACTTCTGTTCACCAGTTTCAGCTTCTTCTTCTGCATCGTCTTCCCGGTTGCAAAAGGCGCAGGAGCTTCTTCGTGATGTTCTACTTGTTTCCCAAACGCGATTTGATGCTGGTGGTCAAACAGGGCCGCTGCGTTTTGGTCAAACTCAAAGGGCGATGTTCTACTTGATGCAGTTGATGGCTGCTGGGCGTTATTATCTTCAACTCCTCGTTGTTGACCACTCCTGTTCAGAAGCTTGACAGAGGAGCTACTTGATGCAGCCGGGTAAAACACGAAGTTGTGCTGTTGTTCTTGTTCCTGGTATCCAGGAAAAAACACCCATCCCCATCAATTTTTTGCATGACAAATAGTGGACTTTATGCATGTTTTGCATGACAAATTGGATGGGGATGGGTGTTTTTTCCTGGATACCTGGTGCGCTCCCTCTACAAGCGGGACGGCGACGCTTTCGCTTGCCTCGTCTCCGGTCATCTGCGAAGCGGTCGCGTCTACGAGACCGTGTACTACGTTGTCCTCCGTACTAGGTGCTTTTTGTGCTGCCGTAGTACCTCCCGCGAGGAGTTGTGCAGCGGGCTCCGAAGGAGCGGACGAGGCCACGCCGCTATTGCTTTCTTGGGTCTCCACTAGTTGTACCTTGGTCACAGGGGTTTGCTGTTCGGCAGCAGCTGCAGAAGATCTTTCTTGTACCTGAAGTCCACCGTCTCCTTCTACCAAAGCCGCAGGATCGACTGCCGCTGCGTCATCGACAGGCTTAGTTAATATTTTCGACGTCCTGCTTGCCGACGCTGAGTTGTTTACAATTTCTCTACTGCTCTTTCGCCCCTCAGCAACAGGTGCCTCGCTTGTTCTAATTTCTTTCTGCGAGCCCGCCGAGGACCCCTGCCGCATCCCCTCTTTCAACATCTCGTCATCCCCGAGGACGTCGTTCGCAAGCGAAAAAGGGGCCACTTCCGAGGACGCCGGTGTGGCCTTGCTGCTCGACTCCTGCGGCTGTGAAAGAACAACATCATCGACGTTGTTTTTCAGCGTTGTTGCGCTACTTGTTCTAGCGGGCCCGGACTGACTTGTCTGCGTTTGCCGCCTGTCCATCATGATCCCCGCTAGTGTGGCCCGTGTCTGTGCAGCGGTTCTTGAAGCTGCTGCAGTTGATGTCCCTGCGACCACGTAATTGTTGTCCGGCGCGTTTTATCAAATGTAAAAATGTCTGGGTCTGCAAGGTTGGAACTTGTGACGCAGCTAACTTTGTACTCTAAAAACCTCTGTATTGCATGACCAGCAAGAGGAATCTAGTTTGTGCTACGCGGGGAGGGCATTTGTCATAAGGAGTAGGCATCAGGAAGCCCTCTAAAAATCTGTGATGCTAGGTCGTGCATCACAGACATCCTGGGTCGTGCAAAATATGCATGACAAACCCTGCAACATTCCAGACCCAGACACTTTTGCATTTGATACGTTTGAAGACAGTACATCACCGTCGACCGCACTGGAAGTCGGTGTGTGCTGCTCCTGCAGGCCTGTTTGGGGATCATGATTCTCCGCCACCTCTAGTAGAGCAGCTGCGTTGCTCACACTGGGTTCGAGACTTGGGGTGTTGGTACCACCACCGTCGTTGGACGAGGAGAGCGCCACGACCCGCGGTTCGTGCAGCTCGCTATCCTCTGGCTCCTCCTGCACCGGCGTAACTTCCGCACTGGAGGAAAAGATCTGGTTATTTTCGGGCTGTTCTATTACTTCCGTTGGAATGATTTCAGGTTTATCTTTCACACGGCGACTCCGACTCCCCTCCTCCGTCTTTATTTCCCTCTTCGGCGGGCCGAACCGGTAGACCTCGTCCATTACCTCGGGTTTCGTGATTGCCTCGATCTGCTCCTGCACCAGCTGTATGCATTGCAAGAGAAAGAGTATCGTACTAGTATATGTAAATTGCATTACAATTTGTAGTGCCGATTTGCCGAAGATGGGGAATTTGTCATGCGTGATTGCAATTACTACGAGTACGATACTTTTGCACAGGATAAGCTGGTCAAAGGCGGCAAGCTGCTTGGCTCTGGTTTCCACCGAGTTAGTCCCCTCGGTCGACAAGACCCGCAGCGTCAGCCCCGCGGCGCCGGGGAGGACGCCGGGGATCTTCATTTTCATCGTCGGGTCGATGCTCTCGTCCTCGTCCACGCCAGCGTTTAGATTGATTGCCGCGTCATACGCCCAGTGGTATTCTGCGTAAAAGAGAACCCGAAGTACTACTTACCCCATAGTCAAACTGATGATGCTCTTCACTCTGCTACACAAGTGCAGAAGGTTAGACAGAAACGCATGACAAACTTGGGTCCATGTTGTACTTGTAGTCGCCGTTGCATTCGCAGTGAAATATCCACATCAGAAATCGCCTGTCTTAGCTGATCCTGATCCTGATGAGTACGGCATCAGCAAAAACATTCCAAAAGAGCCTGCTTGGAAGATGCTCCTCAACCTCATGGGGCTGCGCATGAGACACATTCCATTGTAGAAAAGGAAAACTACATGCAAATCCGCATGACAACTCTGGGGTGAAAATTATGGGTACTAACTTCAACTTACGTTTTTCCACAGCATAACCGTTCCTGCTGCGCTTTCTCGAACACGGAATGCCGTTTGGACTATGAATTGCAAAAGTATCGTACTCGTATAAATGCATTACAAATTCCCTCAGCATGAGAAATGAGATCATTTGTAAATGCGGACTTACCTTAAGAAAAGGATTTGCAATGCAAGACTTGCATTTATACGAGTGCGATACTTTTGCACAGGATATGGACACCACGGCCTCCAGAATGTCCGCGGAGTCGGTGCGCCGCTGTATGGGAGCGTCAGGTTTGAAATCGTCAAAGTTGAAATAATTTGTAATGCATAAAATGCATGACCCGAGGTACGTGTGTTGCAGAGCAGGCAAGTGAGGCCGATTGTAAAGCCTGTTTGGGGTTACAGCTCGAGCTGCTAAAGTAGGATGAGAAAATCACTCTTCGTTGCCTAAACAGCATGACAAACTGGATTTCGGGGCCACCGAAATTTGTCATGCGCCACTTGAAAACTGGGCTCCAACTGGCATCCATTTTATGCATTACAAATTATTTCAACTTTGACGATTTCAA